TTCCAAATTTGGTCATTGTTGGAGAAATAGTGTTCCTGACAATCTCCCCTAACTTTCCAACTTAGGTCAAGGCTATTCCTCAGGATATCTGAAGTGTACAAAATAATTTCTTACTAATATAATAATATATTGAATAATCTGGTGTAATGATTTTTAAAGGATTTCATATTTTTTTATTTTTTTAAACATAGCCTTTATTTGGGCTTTGTAGAGAATTTCAGTGTGTTAGAAAAATAAAGAAATCAAGAAAAGTTGATCTGTATGTTAAGCCCTTATAAATAGACACATTTGAATCTTAATAGTGGTATAAATGACATTGGCTGCTATTTACAAATAGAAAAGTGAATTAGCAAACTGAGCTTACAGTTCATTAGTGACAGGTGGAAACAGGTTACTATTTTGTTACTAATAGCGTCATTGCAGATCTTAAAAGAGGAAATATTTCCCCTTTTGTGTAGATTTAATAACTTTAAAAGATGAAGGGAAATTATTTCTTCTCTCCATAAATCACTAAGAAATTCCTTGTAATATAAATAGTAGGGGAAAACCAGGATACCTTTCTCCAATAACCACTCCAGATTTTTTCTGAATAATTCCAAGGGAAGCAGAATAATTTAAAAAAGGTACAATTGTACAATTAATTTTCATGTTTTGTGACTTTCCACACACAAAAAAAAAACTTGTATAGTAGCTAAAAAGCTTTTTGTCAGTACACATTATTTTCATATAATTTCTAACACCAATAAAACATTAAACATTACAGATTACCATTCATCAGCATATATATATATATATGCACACACACACACATATATATACATATATATATATATATATATAATTTCAATAAGAATATCTATAATGTGTATGTACATGTTTGCAAAAGTATTTCTGCTATATATATATATATATATATAAAGAAAAGACAAGGAAAAACTTTTATTTATATTGTCTTTACAGATATACATATGTGGGTATTTGTATGCATGCAATATATATGTAAATCTTTACTTCTATGTATGTGTATATCTGTGAGGTAAAGATTATTTTGGAGAAGTGAAAAAGATCTATTAAGAGAATAAAAAGAAAAAGAGAAAGTTGGAAGAGAAGAACACATCTTAATTTCTTGAATCCGATTATGTTTTGATACCAGCACAGTATAATGCATGAAAGGCATCACTGCTATCATTTGGAGCTAATGATTTCATCTTTCTTAATCATAATAATTGTGTCCCAAATGTACTTAAGTTTTGCTCTCTTTTACTTTTAGAGAATATTTAAAATAGAATATATGCAATTACTTTGATGCTAGTACCTCTAATATGACAGATTAAATAACAATTAACAAATACAATTTCTGATATTTACTGCTATAAATATATAATTTACTGGCATTAAAAACCACAAAAAGGAAATGAAAGACATCAATTCAATAATAGGTTATATTATTTTAAATTCATTAAAGTAAAATTGATTTAATGTATAGTTTGCTCATGACTAATAAAAACAATTACTAGGAGATTGATAGACTGTATCATGCAAAACACTAGATAATACATCAACACTTCATTAAAACATTTGTGAAGATACAGAAACATTCAAGGATTAACATAAGAATGTATTGAAAACAATCTTATTTAGTTTTCATAATAGGAAATTAAATATTTGACAATTATTTACAGAATATGTTTATGATAAAAAATATATTTATAAATTTATTAAAAATTGCAATTCCATTTACTTTTTAAAACTAAAGTGTATATCAAATAAAATTTAGTTTAGTTTTTTACTATATAAAAGTATATAATTTTTATGTGAAGTTAAATTCAGTTTTCATTGTAAAAATTTTAGTTATTATAACAAATGGCATTATTTAGAATTAATTTCATAAAATCATATTTAGTTTTTAAGTAAGAAGTCTTTTTCTTAATATGTAAGTCTTAAAGAATGGTTTAGAAAACAATACAAAGGAAGAGAAATATTTTAAAAAAACAAAAAGCATTTGTTTCACAATGTACAATCATTTGGATTTTTATGACAGAGGAAAGTTTTACAAAACAACACGATTATTTTAAAGTAATTTCTAATAGCTAATTTTGAATATCAAATATAAATTAATTAGAAGCCAAGTATAGAAACCATCTCAAGTAAAAAATAGGTTTGTTAAACTTAGTCATTAAAGACAAGCTTAAAATAGGGCAATCCCATTATAAAGTTAATGATGACTGTCTACTTTAATATAGATTTGCTTATTCATTTGAATGAAGTAAAAGTGTTAGCAAGATCAGATTTACAGCCACTGACTGCAGAAAGTAATGGATCTCTAAACCTTCTTTGATTCTCATCACATTTAGGCTTTAGACATTAGTGAAAGTAAGTTTGAGTGTTTTGTCCTGCAGTACATTTCCCTAACAGCTATCTTGAATAATTCAAAATGCATTTATTAAGTTCTTCAAACTTCTGACAGAAGAGAATTTCTTTGGCTTCCAAATAATTCAAATTTGATAATATAATTGGAAGAGTCACAAAATAAGACACTCAAAAATCACATTTATCATTATTTCATCTAAGCTATAAAATATCAAACAAAGAATGTAAGGGAAAACAGAAAGAGAGAAAGAAAGAAAGAAAAAAGAAAGAAAGAAAGAAGTAAAGGGAGGGATATAGTCATAAAATATACCAAAAAAATTCAAAGAAACTTTGAGAGAAAAGACAAAAGATAGATAAGTTCAAAAGATAAACAACTATGATAATTTTTCAGGCATTTGAAATTGTATTAGAAAAAGGGTGACAGAAATTACAATGAAATAAACTTTGAACAGGACTGTTCGTGCTATGGGATAAGGAAAGACTAACCCATCACTGAAACTGACACAGGATCAAGGAACAAATCTACAAATGAGATGGGACGGGTCAGAAGTTGGGTCCCATGCAGTCTCTAAATGTCAATACCTTAATGCATTTTGTAAAATTGTGTATCGCTCAAAAAATTGATCAAAAGAATGTTCTCTACAGCTGACTTTATCATGAACTGAAACCTGTTCTTCCACTTTGATTTCTTGGACATGATCACTAAGTTCCATGATCTTTTATTTATACAAGTGCCAAGCAAAGAGGAGAGAGATCAATAATAGGTCAACATTTGAGTACATTCTTCACATCAACTTTGACATATACATGAATAACGCTGAAGGAGAGGAAATCTACTTTTGGAGTCAAGAGTTAAAAGTGCATTCTCATAGGATTTAAAAAGAAAAAAAATATACATGATGCAATGTTGAAGTAAACCATGCTCATGCTGAGAGAAGAAGGCAAGTACAAAAAAGGGGAGCAACACCAGGGATAGTGAGATTAACTTCCACAGAATGCTGAAATCGTAAATTCAGGCTGCAGGAGAATTTATCTAACATTTCCATAAGATAATGTTAAATGACAAAAAAACATTTCTATGCAACAAGAAATATACTCATCTCTAATTGTATCTATTAAAATTATTCAGTATTAGCAAAGGTTTATAATGCCTACCAGAACTTTTGTTTTCATGTTTTAGTAGGTCAAAAATTCATTAAAAAGAAATCATTGTTCTTGTATACCCAGTAATGAAGTTTAAAACCAACATTTATTTTTCATTCCAAGCATAAAGCAGGCAGAGTTGAGAGTAGTAATTTTTATATGTCATTACTCTGGATCAACTTAGAGCTGCTCTGAAGTTTGATAATGATAATATTATTATTACGACTATGACAATAATCATAATAATGGTATTTATAATAATAACAACAACATTATGGAACAGTGCAAAGATTGAGGAGTTTGGCAAGACCTATAGCTGCACATTGACTTTTTTTTATTTCAAAGCAGAGCAAAAATACTTTTCCTCAAACATTATAGTTGTACTTGGAAATTTAGAAATTATTAAGTGACTATACTGCTTTCTAGGAGAAATGTTTGAAAAATATAATTAATTGTAATACCATAACCATATGCTTCCAAGGAATGTAATTATAATAGTAATCCCAGAAAAAAATCATTGTGACTATCAATAACAATATTAACATAAATTTACAAATGCCCTTTGCCAGGTGGAAAACTTAAAATTATTTTTCCTTTATTTATACATGATATTTACCTGACATTACAAATGGCCATAATTTCATCAGATAAGGTAGTACTTAAATTTTTCAGAACACATAATTATTACTTTTCTTAGATATTGCTATAAAATCTAATAATAAAACACCACCACCACAACCACCTTCAGTAAATTGGAAATTACTAATGAAAATATCATTAAAACAAAAAAAAAACAAGGATAAGTTATAAATTATTTAATAGTTGGACATCTAGAAAATGTACAAGTAAGAACAGTGTTTATTTTGGTAATTATTGTGGTGTCATGTAAACCTAAGTGCAATAAACTGTGGAAGTGTCTCATAAAATATTTGTGCTCTGTACTTGTCTTCATTTCTCACTATCTAGCAGTAACTAGGAAAGCCAGAAATAGGTTCTTCTTGATTTTCATTTAAGTAATGGAGACACTTATCAGAAATATCTGGAAAGTGCCAGATATTTTCAATCTTTAGACATTTATTTTTTCTTATCTCCATTTTATTGGTGAAATTTCAGTCTTAGATACTAGCTTGACTTCCCACATTCTTTTTTCTTTATCTTCTTTTGCATGGTGCTTAACAAAGAATTTTAGACTGATCTTTACTTTATGGGCAAATTGCCTTTTGAGAAAACTACACTACAATGCGGCAAGGTATCTCCCATTCCCTAGGGTCAAGGCCCTTGCTTATAAGCAGACTCATTATCTCCTCTACCCAAGACTGCAGTGGCCAAAAGGAACCATATGAAAAGGGATAAAGAGAACAGAGTCTATCATAAACAAGTCATTTGGCCTTGTCCCCAAGATGCCAGGAGCAGAGGTGACTACAGCAAGTATGTAATGCAGAGGCAAGCATCACCTAGGCATCACAACTGTCACCTTCTGGTCTTACCTCTCCAGGTTTTAGAGTTGAAGAGCCACTCATGATTGAACTTCTAGCTTCCTTCATCATCTGGATTAAAAAAACAAATAGGACTATGAACATGGTTAAATACAGAGACAGTATGGGAAGGATCCTATGATGACATCCTTGCGTCTAGGACCAGGAGAGGTGATTGAACTGAACACTCAAAGAGAGAAGAAAAAAAAAGGTTAAAAGAAAAAAGACAGATATATTTATAATAATCTTCATGTACACATCTCTCTCAGAATAAGTAAAACAAAATGTGTTAATTTTTATATAAAAGATGACAAGGATAATATTTCCAGTTAAGAAAACAAAAATTGGCCACTATCATGGTAGATGACAATGATTATGGAGTGGAGTAGATATTGAAAATATTAAACACAATATATGTAGTCAATAATAAGCATTTGTTAGTACTGTGAAATAAAAGAGTAAGTGAAACAAGCATAGTAAGCATCTTGTGAACAATGAACAACACATTATAATAATCCAAAGCATAAAATCACAATCAAGCATTCAAGTCAGAGATTAAAATGATCATCTAAAAATTTCAATATAGTTTTAAAAGTAGTAAAATTGAAAGTAAAGATACATGTTAAAGCAGTAACAGCTTAACATTGAACAAAACATGACATTTTTAGATTCAGAGAATAGTTGCAGTGTTGTTTTCTAATCACACAATTACACACACACACACACACAAAAAAAGATATATCCTGTCTACCTGAAGAAAGAGAAGTAAAAAATATACAAGTTGAAAATATTTTTGTTTAAATGCAAAATTTATGACTGAAAAATTTTTTAAAGTAATTAAGACATCCAAAGATTAAAAGAATCACTATTTCATGTTTCCTGCAATCATTCAGTACATGAAAGTCTTTAATTTAAGGAATTTTGCAGTAACTTGAAGAAACCTTGTTAATTTCTACAGTAGATTTATTGAGACTAAATTATGTGTTTGCATTCAATTATATGAGATGGCATATCCTTTAATGAATTCAGTGATTAACTTGCATATCACCTGTTGAGCGTTCAAAGCAATAAGAATAGAACTGATGATTACTGAAAAGTTTAAATGCATAATTTTCTTTCTTGGTCTTTTTTAATTAGGCTATTATAGTTATTATAGTGAGTGTTCATTTAATATTAAATGTTAACATTTAAACTTAGTCAAAAAACTAGTATTTCAATCAATAAAGCATATGTGTACACACACACACACAGAGGGTGTTCCAAACATAACATTTTTTTCTATTTTAAAAGATTTTGACAGTAAAAAATTCAGAAGTTATTATTCATGTAAAAAATGTTTATTTTTATACTTGAAATGTTTAGTTTAAATAACTTTTTTTTATTTGACAATATAAAATTAAAGATGATGTTTCCTTCAACCCTCTTTATTATACATTAATCTATAAGAGTGCACATATGTATATTTGTACATACCTACATATATTTACCTTAGAGTAACAAAAAATGAGGATAGTGGTTAGGAAATATAACCAAATTTCAATCACTTCTCTAAAATAAAATATGTTTTACATATAAAAGGTTATTAGATTAGATTTTAATAAATGATAGAAACTTACATATAATATAGTTTGCTAACAATTTTTCAGATTGGCAATAGAAAAAACAGATAAGCTATAGGTGATATACTTTTTTCTTATACAAGGTATTGCTGAAAAGTTCTCAGGCCAACCCATTTCCCCAATTCAATATTCTGATGTTTGGTCATTTATAAAAATAAACTAAGTCATGAACTTTTCAGCACCCCCTTGTACAATAGGTAATAAATAAAGAATGATCAACACAATATTCCTACATTTCTACAAAATTGTTTTGTCTGTCACAATCTATATTTGATTCTTGTATATTAACTTTTTATATTGTATATAAATAGGAGAAATGACAAACAAGAAGACAGAGGAAAGCAGTGGACAGATAAATGTAAAGAAAAATGTGAAAGAAAAAGAATAAGTTAATAGAATATAGAAATGTAAATTTGGAATTATTAGAACATTAAGTTTGTTTAAAGCTTAGTACCCAAAAGAGGAACTAAATTATAGATTTTATATTAATCAAAGCACATTCTTAACAACAAGCATATATAAATACAAAGAAAATGTTTTTTCTTTAGATTTTCCATAAGTCTAGCTAGTATGTTTTTACAGTTTTATTATTTTCTTAAGAAGAACATTAATACTATAAAAATGGTCATAATATTAAAATAGTAGAAAGATATTTGTACATATTTTCTATATTAAATAAAAAGTTAGGTACCCTGCACCTAATAATGCATTTTATATATTTATTTTTAAACAGGGAAAATAGAAATGACTAGGTTTGTTCATATATCACTGAGCAAATTGATGCATTGAAAGTGAATGATGTATTGACGCAATAATTTAAAAAAATCAAAACATTTATCAAGAAACTGGTTAATAATAGAAAGTTGATATAAATGTATGAAATATTTAAGACAATTTCTAATGATTGAGAACTCTTTATTAACAATTGCAAATATTGTAATAGAGTGTCCTCTTCTGAATATGAATAGATGAAAATTATGCTGAAAGCTTTGTTAACAGAAGGGCAATTATTAAGCAATTTTACAAAAAAGAAATCAGTATTTTGTTCAAGAAAAGTTTTGAGAAGAAACATACTTCTATATAAAAAAATTATAGTTATCTTTACTATAATAGCTGTTTGTGTAACAAATTTAGAGATGCATTTTACATGGAAGATAGAGGATGGTATTTTGCAAATTATGATTATACTAAAGAGTTCATTTGTGCTTTGATACATGAGGTCAATTAAAACTTCTTGATTGAACATAGAATCTAAGTTTACATAATTAATCTATATATCCATCCACTACTAAACATGAATGAGAGATTAAAAAGTTAACAGAAGAATTTTACATTAGTTATTTTAGAAATCTTAAACAATCAAGACAGACAAAATCTGCCTTGTATTTGAAAGGTATTGACACTTTCATAATTCTTTTTTGCATGTGATGTTGTCATATTTGCCACTAGGTTCAAGACAATTGACACAAAAATTGAAAACAAAATGTATAAGCTAAGAGATCAAAATAGTATTATATACAGTGTTAACATGCTAATTAAAATCAATATTTTTAAGGTTTCTAAGAAAAATTCAAGTAGGTAAAAAAGGCAAAACACAGAGAATAAAGGGAAGAGAAATATGAAGCAAGTCTTTCCTATGAGAAAAAGAGGATATAAAGACAAAAACAAAGAAATTCCATCTAAAAAAAAAAAAAAAAAATTATAAAATGATCAACAAATAGAGAAATATAATAAAAATCTAATAACAAAAATCCATTGCTTTTCAGCCAATGAGGATTCCAGCATGCAGAAAAAACAATTGTTAGATGCTTAGAGCTTTGTACCAACTTTAACATAATGCTATGGACATATATACATATTGTCATAGTTTTAACCACCTAGATGAAAGGAATAGATATACATTTTATGTCTAGGCAAAAATCTTTGATAAGAATTCATGAAATTGTACAGAATGACAAAGCAAGTCAATTGTGATTTTTGACAAAGAAAATCATTGCCAGATATACAGCATCATTATGATTATGACATCATCTTGTTAAGCAGATAAAGAACTGATATATATATGTGTGTGTGTGTGTGTGTGTGTGTGTGTGTGTGATTATATAAAAATGAAATATGTTGTTTTATAACACTTGATTGTTTTAATGCTGTTTCAGAGAAAGCATAAAATGTAAATTAGAAATCTTTTGTACTGTTGGTTTGTACCCATGGCTTTTTTTATTCTTGTTTCTCTCAGTAGATACAATATTAAAATAAGCAAGTGAGGTAAGTAATTTATATTTCAATTTCAAAGTACTTTTATAATGATTCATTTATTTTTTTAAAATTGCCACTTCTAGTGATACTTTTACCTTGGATTATTTGTTTTGTTTCTTGTTGTTCACAAGACTTCAAAATAGCAAGTTTCGGTTCTCTGAATTTCAGGCAAAAGATTGTGACTTAGACCAGGTTTACAAGCAGCAGATTAGAATGTAAATTATTGCCGTATGAAAGTCACTCCCAAAAATGTTCTGCAGTGTTTATTTTAACTAATTTCAGGTATGGTTGCTGGATATTTTCATTTCCTAATATCCTAGAATGAGATTATTGTCACTGACATTTCACTACCTTTTTATGCTTTTTTCTCTCATACATTTGTTCTCTTATTATCTTTATAGATTAGCTGGATTTGAAAAGCAAAGTAACTCACCTACAACATATCACTTAGAAATAGTCAAAGAACAAGCAGATTCAAATAAATAAGAAAATAAGGAAATTAATCAACATAAAAATTAGACTTACAATAGAAGTTAAATTTAAACAGATATCATAGTACAAGGGAGTATTCACAGTGAATACTCAAAAATAGAAAGAGGAGTAAGAGAAGGATGTGCTTTCTTATTGGATTTATTTAACCTATACAGCAAGATGATCCAAAGAGAACTAGAAAACCTTTATTATTGGCAAACAATCTTAACAGCATAAGATACATAGAAGACACTGTTGATAGCAGATTGAGAAGGAAAACTGCAAGAACTCTTAAATAAAGTAGTAAAATAAAACAAGAAAAAAAGAATAACTGTAAAAAGACAGAATACATAGCTATCCACAAAAAGAGACAACCCAAGGTGTAAGATATATATATTGGTGACATCAAAATCAAGCAGATACAGAAATTTAACTATGTGAGTATTGTAGTAACAGATAACATAAAATGTGACACAGAAATCTGAAGACACATAGGAATAGTGAAATATTTCTTCCAGAAACTAAGTAAAGTATTAGGAAACTATTGTTAGATACAGAGAAAAGAGTACAAAACTGCCATGTTATATCTAATCCATGTCAGTGAAGGCTAAACAATTTCTTCACAGATGAAGAAGTGACTTGAAGTATCAGAGATGCAGATCCACTGATGAATGCTAAGAATACCATTGGCAGAACATGAAGAAAGGAACAATAAGAACATTTACTTACAATTAGAGATTGTTAAAATTTCTAGGATATATGACAAAGAAAGAGAGCCTAGAGTAATGATGATGATGTAAGAGAACCAAGGGAAACAGAGATTAATCTACTTAATGAGTTTCTGCAAATGGATAGCAGAACAGGGACAAAAAAATATGGCTAAGGGTCAAAAGTTACTTAGGGCAACAAAGGACTGGAAAGCCATGATCACACACATCCTGAAAAGAATTTGACACATAAAAGAAGATATCTAATATAATATATTTTTTAAAAACAAAAACATCATTAAAGCTAATCCCAAACAGCAACAACCTGTATATTTTCCATAGTATAATTATATATATATATATATATATATATATATATATATATAAAAATCAATTTCATATCTAACAAGTACTTTTATTTAACAAAATCTGAGTTAAACATTCTAACAGATAATTTATAAAACTTGAAAAAAATTGGTAGATGTTCAAAGTTATTATGTAAGAAAAAGTCCTTTCTGTTAACTTTTTATAACACTTTAAAGAATGTTGACATAGAAAATAGTTATTAAATAACAACAAAAATAATGAGAACTAAAGTTAAAAGTGAATATGAAGTTAATCCATTTTATGGAATCTGAACACTAATTTAGAGTCATTGTGACTTAATTTTACACAAAAGTAAAAGTCACAATAAACATTACTGATAAAATGTTAAATTTTGACATGTTACTGTTAATGTTGATTTTAGTCTTTATGCATATTTGATATTTATATCAATTTTGGAAAAAAGTGTTAAAAATATTTTTAATTCAAAGATGTGCCATTGATTGAAGTTGTATAAACTTTAGGACTTCAAAATTAATTTTAAAATCTTTTGAACCCCTGCAGAAACCAAAAATGGAAATAACTTGCCATATGTCACAAAATCAGGAAATGGGTAAGTTGGCTTAGAAACAGTACAACTTTGCCATCTTAAAAAAAAAAAAAAAAATCATCTCATGCTCAGATGCTTGCATGCATTTTAAAAAAAATCAGTGAGCCACTCTGATCCCTAAACCTACAAAATAATGGTTCTTTCTGCATGTCTTGTAATGGCAATGTCACAAAATAACAATGGAATTAGACTTATTATTCTGAGAGTCATATGTAAATATGTGCTAGGGTCAATACTTAGTTGCCTTACCTCTCCTGGTCGTAGGGTTGATGGGGTTGTCATGATGGTACTGCGAGCTACCTTCATTATCTGGATCAGAAAACAAATATCATCATCAGCAGAAGATAAGAAGCAGTAGCTACTGCACTGATGTACGTCCATAAAAACAGCCATAATTGGCTTCTTTTAGGAGGGTAAACAAAACAGGCACACAAATTGTGGGTCTGTAACCCCCGCATGAAAGCAAGAAAAATAGCAATACCTTCAAAATAAAAATCACCTCAGCATTGAGAAATTGAAATTAAAAGTTAGAAAACAGATTTTTTCTTTTTCTTAAATCAATCAGTCAAATTTCTCTACAATGCATACTAAGAAAAGTTCTAATTACATTTATAGGATTAATGGGGTTAAAGAATTTGCTTTTCCAATTACTGATTAGTTTAAAATTAATAAGAAAGTTTGGAGATCAAAATTTGAATGTGGGCTTACAAAAATAATTCAGTACTTGTTTCTGTATCAGAAATTCTGAAGTTAAGCTTTAAAGAAAATCAGTATTGCTTGTCTGATACAAATCTTCTCTAGGTGACGTCAAGGAAAATTTGGCATTCTTAATATAAAGAACAAATTTAAACTGAAATTTTAGCATTAATTTTGGTCAGTAGAGTATTTTCAAAATAAACTTTTAAAAATCAACAATACTAAAATTGGGACATGATATAGTTTGAGAATATTCTCAGCAAGCATTTAAAGGAAAACTGACCAATCAATCTTAAGCAGAGCATGCATTAAGTATTGTATGACTTGATATTCTGTTCTGTATTCACTACAAAAGTGTATATATATATATATATATATATATATATATACACACACACACACATACATACAAATGTCTACTTACACACACATGATCATATAAACATGTTGATTTCTGTATATTGGTTATACAGGCAATCATTATTAGCCAATGTTTTTGATAATTTGAGATAATAATGAGTAACAGAGGAGATTAAAGCTTTCGGGTTTTTATTGACAGTGCCCAATGATAGTATGAAATACAACCAGTTTATAAAATGATTTGCTTTATTAAAAAAATGATATGTTTAAAGTAAATTACTAAAATCATCCATTATAAATAAATTCATGAATATGCTCATTTTTTTTATGAACATGTATTTTGTCAGTGTACATATACATGTAAACAAAAACAACTAATGTATGTATGTAATCCAGATTTGTACATTAAATATCCAACACCAAATATCTATGGTTAAAAATGTTACATAAATTCAAGGGATACTTTTTAGCTATGTATTTTGCATAAAAAAATAATTACTTAAAGAAAAACAAGAACACACAATCAGGTATGTGGCAAGAGACAAAAATTAAAAAGTGAAATATGAATATAAAAATATCATTACAAAAATAGAAATATCTAATATTGCAGTAGTTCTTATATGAAACTTTAGCTACTTAAATATTGGGTGACATTAAACAATTGTTTGATTCATTAATTCTTTTCATTTTCAATATTAACTTTATTGAACAACACAGTATTTTGTATCCTTATCTTCTGCCATTTTTCAAACAACTTCATAATTTCATTCTCTTACAACTTTTTATCTTTCCCTCATGAAAGAATTATTCTAGCTACATTTTGAAATTTTGTAGAGAATTTAATTATTTTTACTAAAAGAAATTTTTACAGATCAAAATATTGTAATCGGAAGGTGAATACAGTAAATGAATGAAAACTTCCCAGGAAACTGTAACAATTTTTGTCTGGTCACCAATCAAATGTGGTCTAGCATTATCTTTTTAGTTAACTAATTTGGGATGTTTTTCATTGACTGTTGTTCTCAGTTGGTCTAATTGGGAGGAGAACTTGTTTGAATCAATTGTTTGGCTCTCTGGATGGAGCTCATAATAGAGGATATAAAACAGCATCAGTTTCTTTAGATGATGTCCAGCAATTTTGTTTGCACAATGATTACTTTCATTAAATGTTGTTTTAATATATCTGCTTTTCACTAACTATCTTCAAAAACAGAATATTTACATCAATTCCAGTAGATGTTTTTGCTTATATGAAAGCCACATATTAAAAGAACATAACCATACTAGAACAAATGGTTTTCAATGCTTGTTTTGAATATTTTGATTATGTTGACCATCTTCTATATTATATAACAGATTATTCTCATGTAATGCCTGGACTTCATTGCGGTCAACATCAACTGGTTTATTTGATTTCCACAATCAAACCATTTTTGCTACATTTGATAATTCATATTACTTTCTCTATAAACTGGACAAATATTTTTTGGGTTTTGAGTTGCATTTCTTAAAAAGAAAATGGGATAATATACTGAAAATTTTGCTTATTTTTTTCTGTTATTTTTAGAAGATTCAATCTAATTTCCCAATTGTTATAATCAAAAGTGATCTTTTTAAATTAAGTTAAAATAAAACATTCCTATCTAATAATAAAAATGAAAACCTTTTTGTCCAACTCTACACAGATAGATGCAAACATTATAATAAACAGCCAAAAATTGTTTTTCAAATTTAAGAATTTCTTTAGTTATCATAATTTTTAAACTGTAACATTTATAAAAAAATAAAGAAAGATTCAATTTTAATTCTTCATTTCATTTAAATTTTTTAAAATATTGTTTTTAATATATGACTGGTTGCTTATTCTAGACCTTGTATCCTAAAACATCCACATGGAAAGAAATAAAATCCACATGGAAAGAAATAAAATCCTGAGATCATTGGTAAACAAATACTGTAAAATAATCTATAAAATTGGGTGGAAAATTAAGACCTGCATTATTGGAATGGCCAAAATTCTGTATCAATTTGAAGATAAGCATTCATATTTAATAAACATTGAATTTTTTTTCCATACTGTCACATTTCTTTCTCAAAGTCTTATGCTTATAGTTATCGTATATATGTTAATAAATTTACAATATTGAGGAGTCTAACTTCTTGTTAGAATACATTATGCCTTTATAAGCATTTATAGGTTTAATTTTCCAAATCACTACACACAAAAATTCTGTATACCAATAGATAATGATAAAAAAGAACAAACAAAATGACAAAAATAGGTAGTGTTGTGAATATATCACCCCCCCCTAGATAATCCAAGCTATAAAAGCTGTATACTTCCGCTGTCAAGTCAGATGAGTAGTAGTATTCTTAATTGAATAAACGATTACTAGACAGAATCTCTTGTCCTGTTTTCATTACAGGTAGATATAAGGGTTATTATTTAGTGTTAAAACAAAAAATGATTATTTTTTAAAAAACCTGTTATGATTTCTTTTAAGGTTTTCATTTTTTTAAATGTAAAGCATATTAGAGCACATGTCTTGACTTAACTGATAGCCACATTACTATATTTGCATTACTTAAAAAGGGCAAACTGCTTCCAATGTAAATGCTTTTTGATCAAGTGCAAAGCAAAATCATTACATATCATGTAAACATTTTTATAAAGTCTAACTTAAATGTTTAAGATTCATAAATACAATAGCTGTGTTTAATTCCATATTAAATCAGCAAACATCAAGCAATAATTGGACACATTATTGAAAGTTGACTTTTTATTTATCTCTTTCTTTTTTAACTAAATGATCACGCAATGCTAGTCACTCAAGGTAGAGAGTTATTAAATGAAATTTTTATAGGATCAGAAGATGAGGAAATAAGTGCAGATTATGAGGATATGTAGGACAGATAATGGTTGTCCTTAGATTTGAGGAAGTTAAGATTGTAGTAATCTAGGCAGAATCCACTTGGGAATCAGTTCCACAAAGTAGCATTTCTTGGGAAGGAGCTGTCTGAGTGGAACTTCTTTCTTACAAATGGAATATGAAAGAAATGAGGATTATTCAATCCAGTGTAAATATCTTAACTGGTCGAACTAAGGAATGTAACTAATCTGAATACTTGTCATGGAAATAGTGACAGAGTAGTAATAGGCTTGTGACATTTCATCTGTAGGAAAGAGGCAGTAGGGTTGAAAATGATTTATTGCCCTCAAGGCAATAAATGCTTTTGAATTGTCAAGGCTGGGAAGCGAGGATTGGGTAGCACCAGCCCAGATATGGTAACAATATTCCATTTTTGATCTGATATGACTCTTGGAAAAAAATAGAGCATAGCAGTAGTAATCAAGTACTTTCTTGAGTTGCATAGGAATTTTTCCAGCATTTTAGCAAGGGATGGTATATATGAATTCCACTTGAGATCTAGTAGGCTATGGGGCCAGAGGCCAAAAAAGGGCTTAGATTTTGAGTTCGTGGACATTTTATTCATATGAGAAAATTTCAAGTGTTTCTAGGAGTATTTTTCGTGCTGATTTCAAATCTGAAGAGATCTCCAGGCTAAATGTGCACACTGCTTCAGAAAAGGGGAGATAATACAGGGTATGTCATTTATGGAAAAAGTCCATTTTCATGGTTTACTTCATGTAAAATGAACTTTAAATAAGTTTTTTAGCACATTTAAGTGTATCAACAAGAAGCTGATATATCTATGCTCTTATATTATGTGTTAATTTATTTAATCAGGAATTTTTAGCAAATAAAATGACTTGCATAAAGCTATAACAATGAAAACGTTACTTTCTATTGTCGTGTGAGTTTCTCAAATTTGAATAACCTCGTAAAACATTGCAATGTACATTAATTTGATAAAAAACATGAAAAACCTTTATATGTTTTTCCAAATCTTGTGCCTTCCAAAAATCATAGATGGAAGAACTGTTTTCAAATACTTCTGGTGATTGACTTTTCTTCATTTTGGACTGCCATTTACTTTTTTGATGTAATTTTGTCACACATACACATTGAGTGATATAGAAATCTTAATGTTTAGACTAACTTTGACTATATATATAAAAATTTGTAATAAGAGTTTTTTTCAGTTATGTTGAAATAATTGTTATCAAGTAATACATTTATAAAAGGAATTGAAAAATAATTGATTGTCCTCTAATCCTGCAAGCTCATCTTATCATTCGCCCTCTGAGGAGTCAGAATCTTCTATTTCATTAATCTGCTGCACTTCATTAT